ACTCAGGAATTTTAGTTTTTTCATACAAAGCATATGCTGGGCGCCTTGGATTACACAGTTTCAGAGTACTGGGCTCCATTCAATTTTCCTTAGAGCACAGCCTTGAGTATTGCACCTGTACTCTGATGTATCATAAACTAACCCATATTATTTAAAAGTTCATAGTGTAAAAGTTCATTGATCTTGCAGCAAAACTGTCAAATTTGTTCATATATTGATCTTGTCTTTTTCACTTGTTTGCAGTCTTTGTAGATGGGTATCACCAGACATGCAGTAAAGTGTACTTTTGAATCTGTTGTTGGGAATATTTTAGTGGTTTCACTCATCAGTAGTGAATCACTTTCTCAAGTTTCATGTAATTCTGAATGTTAAAAAAATGCTTGTAAATAAAAAAAAAGGTTTTTGTGTGTGTGATTTCTTTGAGTTGATACATGTTTACATTTATTCACCTGTAAATGTTACCAAAGTATTACGTGTCATTCACTGGAAAGTCCCTGGTAGAATCACAAGGGGAAAAATGGAACTGTTCTCACCAACTTTACTATCACCTTGTTCAATTTGCTCTTCTGACCTCAGTGAGGACCGTGAACAAAGTTTATCACTTTTATTATTTTACCCTTGTAGCCAACATTGATTTTATACTATTCTGGTGTTCTGTTTACTTCTTTCATCATAACAAGCTTGACTGTTATTTTTTTATGGGCATACATGTGTCTTCTTGGCCTGGCTTGACAGAAAACTCAACTCAGAATAACAACTCGCAGGCCTAATTGCTCTTTGATCATAATTCTTCAGCCTTGATGTCATGTTTAATCCCTAAGGGTGACTAGCATCTAATTTCTCCTGACATTATCACCCCTGAATACAACATAAAGATCAGGCCCTGGTTGTTCGAAGGATGGATAATGCTATACACTGGATAAATCTCTATCCCGTGGATAGCGCGGTACATTTTGGTAACACTTATCTGCTGGATAGCGATTTATTTGTTGGATAGCGTTATCTGCCCTTTGAACAACCAGAGCCTGGAGAATAAAGGAAATGATCACCAATTAAAGAAGCTCTTAACTGTTGATCAAATTCCCCTTGTCAGCACACTGGGAGCTGATTGCAAATGGTGGCTTACATTGGAAATCATGCAAGTGACTACTTAATATGAAGGTTTGTACATATGCAACTCATGGGTGGGTTGGGGGGGGGGATATATGGTATTGCTTTATATGTGCCCTGCTGATTCTGCTGTAGTTGAAGCCTAACAAGTTTAAGTGACAATAGGAATTTCCAAACATCAAATAAAGACAATTATGAAAAACTATTTTAAAGTGTACCACTCAATAAGCAGAGATGATATGTAAAAATACTTTTATTGCAGGATTAAACCTAATAAATAGATCCACTCTTTGAGGGAAAACGTAAAATGAAAACGTTTACAATCACAAGAGAACTGAATTGTCTTTCTCGTTGTTTTGTTTGTTTTTTTATTTCATAACTAAACTATTTGATGGTGGGAGCAGAACAATGCTACATGGATGTGTCATAGCAAAAGTACGAATTAAATTTTATGTAATGTTTGAAACTATTTGACACTTTCACTGGAAAACCACACTATTTGTTTTAACTGTAACATCTCCTAACTTCACAAAGCTTTTTTTTCCTTTGGTTTATTTTCAAATTATTCCCGCAATGTTCATATCACATGCCGTGTATGAGACTTTCACAAAGAACCGCTGCTCAGTAATCAAGGCTCATCAGAAGCGCAGTTCCACGTTTGATCCAGTGGTCTGACGTCATGGCTCCCGCTTTCAGGTCAACGGCCACCACAAAGGACGCGCGGCCAGACGTTCCCGCTCGGTTTGGATAGTAATAACATGGGCATGCGTAAACACCTATAACGTCAAAAAAAAAAAAAAATTAAAAAGTCGTAATATATTCGCCTTAAATTTGTTTCCTTTTTCGTGAAATCTATCAGCCGTGAGAAATCTTCAAGTGACATTGCAATTACTACAAATTTCTGTTAAGTGACGCGCGACGGAAGTTTGACAACTACGTTCTGTAGCTAAATCGTGTTGTCGTCAAAGGCAACTGGCTCCGTTTTCAGTGGCAACGTGTCGTTTGAATTCTGTTGGCGAGCTTTCACGTTTGGCAGTCAGTGACGCATGGCTCTTAAGATTCGGTTAAGTTTGGAAACGAGGAAAGTTGCCCGTGACCACACCGTTGTTTTTAAGTAAAAAACCAAGTTACCAAATTTTTAACGCGTCACACTCAAGTGATAATCGTAGTAAATGAGAAATGAGCAACAGGCTTTATACTTAACGGCCACTTCCGGTTAGCTCAATTGGTAGAGCGCCGGAGTGTTGTGCGGGAGGTCGTGAGTTCAAATCCGGCCGGACCAACACTCAGGGTCTTTAATTAACTGAGAAGGAAGTACTGCCTTTGTAATAATATCTGCAAATGGTTAGACTTTCTAGTCTTCTCGGATAGGGACGATAAATGGAGGTCCCGTCTCCTGCAGGGTTGGGGTAGGAGACGTTAATTTCCCACACACGAGATTACTGTGTGATGGATGTCCTCCCCGGGGTGGGATGGGTGGGTAAAAAAGGGGTTAGGTGTCAATTGGAACGAAAGTTCTGTTCCTTTCTCCTGCCATTCCTGTGGCGAATGAATTAAACTAAACTAAACTNATATCAGCTAATATTCTCTTGGTTGGGCGTATCAGACCTTTTCCACTCTTCTTCTTGTTCTCCACGGGCTTGAAATGAATCGTAGGCATGGCGCTAACGAGTTGCATGGGCTCTGCTTCAATGAGGCACGCATTCTTCTTGTCCCAGCCAGCCCCCTCTAAAAAGAGCCCACGGATCCATACACCATCCTGAAAAAAAAAGGCTTTGATTGAGAAATTGTGCAGCGCAATAGGGAATCTCTGTAGTGAAGAAAACTTAAGGGCAAATTCCAAAGCGTTTCTGATGCAGAAGGTGCTTTCCCTTTGATTAAGGAAGGTATGATGAAAACTGAAGGTGGCTACACTATTGACTGATGTGTGACACCACTTAAAATGGAGGTTACCACGACATTAAATAATCGTTTTTAGTTCGTTTTTTAGCCTTTGATGTACATTTAACTCAAAGATTACCTGTAAGAAGGTTAGGAATATTTCCTTTGAACAGGGCTGTTCGATCTAGGGCTAAACCTGCGTGAGCTTCATGCACGTTTCTTTATCATTTAAAGCTGAATTAGCGTCTTTCGTGTCGTGTGAATCACCTGGGAGAGGCACTGTTGTCTGTGACAATGTGTGATGTTTGTCAATTCACTAGTAATAATATGCGACCCTGAACTTGAGTTGCAAGAACTATGGTATCACATGAGCAATTTAAAAAAACCTCACAGGTCCGACGTGGGTGCGAGTGGGAGGCTGGAGAAATAGCGCTGAAAAACGGGGATCATCCAACATGTTAACATTTTGTTTACTCACCTTGGGCTGTTGGGTGATGTTGCTATCGTCCACTGTGGACACAACAAACTCCCACGACAGCGAGTCCACGGACACGTTGTTTTGTCGTGCGCATGTCTGTAAGACCGCGGTCAGGAAGCCTGTGGGGAATGTAAAGCCAGACATCCAGAATATGACGGGCTGGTGAGCTGTGGTCGCCCACTTGGCAAACTGATCCACCCGCAGCACTAGGTCACGTGTCCAGTTACCCAGCGGTTTATTCGACGGGTAAGCCTGTCAAAAGTGTGTCCATAATGTTTACTGTCTAGCATCTAGAAAGGATCTACTTAAGATATGACATAGTCAAAACAAAATTGAATTTTCATATCATTTTATTCAAAATTCTTGGCTTTATGGCATCATGAAGCTCTGATCGCTAGACGTGATTCACGCATAACTTCTTAAAATTCTAATTCATCCTCCTGCTGAAAGGCAACTAATCGAGCAGTTCGTAAAACTAATGAAATTTATCAATGTTATTTGGAAAAGAAAGAAAAAATTGACACCCAGCTAGTTCCTCTCCGTCTAAATGCTAACACTTGCAGGTTTGAAGGCTTTTCAACCATTCAAAATCTTTTGAAACGAAGTAATTCTGTTTATAAACAAAGTGAATTATAAAACGCCATTTGATTGGTTCTCACTTATAATCTACTGGGTAACAGACGCGTAGATGACGTCATCAACAAAACCATTTTGCTTTTTCATCAAAAAACAAACAGATTCCATGCTGCCGTGAGTCTACTCAATATCAGATCACAGATGACGTAAAAATGTGGTGAGAACATCAGAGACGCACTCGGCTGCGTGTTATGTGCCACTTTTCTGTTCTTACCACGTTTTGACGTCACCAGGGTTAGAGTTTGGGTCTGCCACTGACACACGACCACATAGAATGTATTTGTTACACCTCGTATATACGCAAAAATATCCAACATGAACTAGCTTTAAGCCTATCATCTTAACACTTTTACTTGAAGTTCAATTTAAAATTATAAAACTCTGTATGAAATTTCATAGGATTTCTAGTTTACCTTTCCCCACATAGGGGGAACTTTGGCATCGTAGATACAATAAAACGTCTCCTCCAGGTCAGAAGACATGACCACGAGACCCTTGATTCCCTTCTCCAGATCGATAAGGGATGCTCTGATGATTCGTAACAAGGCGTTAAACCGTTCAATCTATCGGCGAGAAAAAAAAGAAGACATCAACATTGATTCAAAGATGGAGGCATTCAACCAACAAAATGGTGCTTATTTTGGTAGAAATGGCACAGCCAGCACTCGAATTAAGTGACTCGCACTAACGAAACTTATTTCAGTTTTCGTAACATGAGGCGAGTATGAGTATTGGTATTCCTGTGGACAAGATGCCAGATAAAAAAAGCGTGGATGATTGCTCGTACCTCTTGAAGCAACACAACGTTAAGAGGAGAGGGGTCGTCAGACATGATTTTCGCGGTCTGTTCATAGTCAATCTCCTCAGGGACTTTTTTCAGTACGTCAGCAGCAAGCTCCAAAACCTACGAAAGAAAAGACACCGTAATTAGACACTCACGATCTCCAAAGCAGCAGCAAGACCAAACATCACGTTAGAGCAGCTTTCAATTAAGTGTCGAAAGTTATCCGCAATTGCCTTGGTTTTGCTTTACTTTGCCCCAAAACTGGTCCAAAAAACTCGCTCAAATCTCTTAAACAAACCGATGCAAAACTAAAACCAATCACAACTTGGTCCCCCGCATTTTCTGCGCTTTCGGTAATTTGCTTGTTTTTACTTTGAGTGCTCATTGGTTCTTCAAGGTATTTTCCTTTCTTCTGATCGCCCGTTATAATTACTTTGATTTTGGTTTTACGACACTCAATTGAGAAGCGCTCTAAATGTGTCCAAGCAATCCAAAAGTATCGTTCATTGTTTCCCAATTCTTTTATTCAGGTTTTCGTTGAAAAGCTTCCAACCTTTTCCTCCCTGCTCTCTCCTTGTCCTCCAGCAGAAGGGATCTGGGGTTGAAGAGAAAGTAACGTACCAAACAGATTCCTAAAAAACAACAACAATAAATTAATGAGAGAAAGATCATAAATACACGTTACTTTGAATCAATTCTTTTGCGATCGCAAAAATGTTCAGGTCGGTCAAAATAGTCACAGAGAAACAACAAATAAAAAATAAAAAATCAACAAAAGGATAATAAACAAGTTGTGACCAGCATCACACAATCGAAGCATTTACTATGGAATTACAAAACAAAAAATACTCTTCTTCGAAAACAAAGACAACGTGCTGTTTGTGAAACCACTACACACGTATTTTCATTAAAACGACGACTGCGATTTTCCTCAGAGTGTGGAAAAGATCACCGCAGAAGTTCTTCTCTCTGTGTTCTCAGTACCAAATTGTCACATTTACCTGGTTTCGATGATCTGACTGGCGATATCAGCATTAGGGTGCTGACCAAACGTCTCGGGATGATCAACATTAGGTAACATGCTAATGTATTCCTGTAAAACATCAATTTCAAAAGGGTTTCTTATTGGTTGTGGACGGTGATCACGCGCATGCTTTGCACTATCAGATCACTGACCGGTCGTCTCGCTGCATAGTCCATGCCATAGCATTTCAGAACTAGGGAGCTTCTGATATCGCGAGACGCAAGGGTACTGCAAACACTGACCTCATCCCATTAAAAAAGTTTACTAATGTCCACTAGTGGATTTTCTTCTTCTGTGCAAGTTGCAGTCAAAGCCAGATACCGTCGGCGTTATGTGGGTGATACTCTCAAGAAACTCAAGGTTAAGAGCAGGATTTTCAGAGGTCTTCTCTTGCTCGAGGGAGGGAGGGAGGGGGGGAGGGGGTACTTAGGTAAATTTTTGCTGGATATGTCACAGAACTTCTTCCCCATTATAGTCTATTCTGTGGCAATACTAGATCTCATATTTGTCACTTTTGGTAATGCAGTAACAACCTTTTAACCGCGAATGCTCATAATTTTAATCCATATAGACAGCACTGTACTTGCTACAATTTTCTTACCCCCAGAATACCAAAGATCTGCGACTCCAAATTAGAAGCTCTATTGAAAATGCAACCCAATTATAATCAATCCAGCTTGAAAATTCGACCCCATATAGCGGCACACCATTAGCCTATCATTAGGAAGGATCTTCCCCTTGGGCTCTAAGTCACTTCAACAACAGACGAAAAAGGCGCCAACGGATACTTCACTTTGTGAGTCCAAAAGAGGAAAATCCTTACATCTTCCACACAGACTTCTCATAAAGTATTAAATTCAACGGCGAATCGTAAAATTTTCTCTCATATCCAAAATCTCAATAAAGAACTTGCGATGGATATCTTACCCTGTAGGTGGAAAGAGGACCGTCTTTCGGAATGTAATAGGTTGGCAGAGCAGATAGCCTGTTGGTTTGGAAGACAATAACAAAATCGTTATGAGAGAAAAAAATGCTTTAATTCATAGCATTTTTACCAGGGTGATTTTAGAAGCAAGCAAAATATATTTGAAAATTTTGATAAAGTACTATCTGGATGAAAAGGAATAACATTTAAAGATGTGGCAGAAACTGTCTTGGAAAGAACGGGGGAGGGCAGGCTATGGAGGTGATAAAAGTGACTTTCAGCCTGGGCAACAAATAGAAAAGAAGGCGGGCGGGCGGGCGGGCAGGGGGAGGGCAGGCTATGGAGGTGATAAAAGTGACTTTCAGCCTGGGCAACAAATAGAAAAGAAATTTGAAAACAAGAGGTTTTCGTCAGGCAAAGCCATGAGGTTTCGAGTTTCTTTCAGCAAATTTCTTAACGTTTACATTTTTTGTTCTGTTCTTTCTGTTTTAAGGTGTGCCTTACAGCCCATTCATTCACACAAGCGACCAACAAGTAATTTCTTCTTACAATATCCATACCGGATCAAACAGAATGGTGATAAGAAGAAAGATAGGAATCAGCTAAAGGAGATTCCTAGAGCAAGCACTATATCTTTAAAGCTAAAATCATAAGAAAGGTGTCACAGAGGGTTAAGAAAATTGATACTGAGATCCTGGGAGTGAAAGAGTGAAACCAACAGCTTACTTGTAGTAAGGGGTCAGAATGGCTGCGTCACAGAACTGCTCATTGATGTACGAATGAAGCAAACGCCTGTCAAAATCATCTGTCACGTGACCACCATAATTGACACCTGCCACCTAAAACAAAACAATTTTGCATGTCATTCATACACCAAATTAATCTAGTAACTTCCCCACCAAACGAACAAACTTACTTTCCCAATTAATTCCGTAAGTTGTCTTATTTTAGTTCAAGCAGTATTCAAACCAGATGGTTTTCGAAACGAGTCGTCTTAACCAAAATTGACAAGCTACAATTTGCAACAAAAATAGTCGACGACACGACACTGCGTTTTAGTGATACTTGCGTCATATAACAAATCTACCTGTGGCACCTTCTGACCTGCTTTTGAGACCTCCCCCCTCCCCCGTTGAGTGCTGCATGTTTGCAAGTAAAGATCCCAGAAATTAACATTGCATAAGGGAGGGGAGAGAGGAACAGAAAGGATCATATGACAAGACAAAAAATGATGAAAATGACACAATACAGGATTTAATCAAAACTATAACAAAATATTTTTTCCTACCAAATATTTCAAGGCGTCCCAGGGAGTCTCTTCATATTCGTCCAGGTAAATACTCAACAAGTTCTCGGACACTTCGAAATCAGAGTCATTAAACCCGTACTGTATGTTCCACCCAAGCATAAGGAATTTCCTTCGCTCCAACAACACACTGTGGAAGAAACACAACGAGAACAGCAGTTTCTTGTACTTGTCCTGTTTGTGGCAGCGGCGGAACTGTTGATCTGTGATCAGCTGGTATAGTCGCTTCATGTTCGCCTTGAGACCCTGTGGAGAGATGATGAAACAGCGATAAGATTTGGAGAACAAGCTAAATACTTGCTTCCATTAGGGTGTTTTAAGTCTACAGCACGGACCTCCAAGATCATAACTGTCGCAGCTTTTCCTCCAAAAAGGGCTTTTCGAATACTACTTATTCTGCTTAGAAAAATTGCAACCCAGCTCCGACTGGTTGTCCTTTAAAGTAATCCACGGATAAGTATGAAACGACACCCATCAACTTGCATCACGCGTTAATTTTTTTTTCCAGGGTTCCCTGTGCAGACTGATCACAAACGTAACTACTAACCTTAGGAGGTTCTGTTGTCATCTTGATGCCGACTTGTAGGATGGAGATGGGAAATTCTGGATGAGGGCTGCTACTTAGCCACAGTCTGAAGTCAGGGTGCGGCTCTTCCACCTGAAGCTGCTCCACCAGCTTGTCAAGCTGAGGCATCCAACTCAGCGATAAGTGACAGTTGGCCAAGAACACCCAGTTACCCTAGAGAAATTATATTAAACAAGATAAGAATAGATAATATGTACTTTTTGACTGAATGAGAGGGCCGGACGGGAAAATATTTGGCTCGAAGTTTTAAATTAAATAGGACATACTCACATTCAGAAGAAGGGCCCGCACTGGACAACTTGTAAAACGATTCTACAGTAACTGAACGTTTCCTTTTTTCCTTCGAGTCAGAACAAGAAACTCAAAATTCATCGAGAAGCAACTCGTCTTCTCATTTGCTTAATTTTAATTTCAAGTCCAAAATTTCAATCCACTGACGTTCTCGGAAGATGCAAAAGAGCCGTGTCAGTTTTTCCGGACCGAGGACCCGTTTCTCGAAGGTCCCGTCAACTTAACTGGCCCGTAAAGCTGTTCTGTTTTCATTCAAGATGGGGATTTCAAAAGTTTTGAAAATGACAAAATAAAAGTATCAGCGAAAGAAACAAAAAGGACTAGTTTGGGTGTCAAAACCTGCTTTCCCGTCCTTTAAATTTTGATTTAAAACATGGCTTTGGGCCCGTTAAGTTACCGGGACTTTCGAGAAACGGGCCCCGGCTCACGTCAACCCATCCGACCCTACACACGTCAGCTATTATTATGGTTTTCTATAGGACTGCGCGAGCGGGGGCTTTGCAGGTCATTTGAAAAATTTTCTTTAGAGGCAATTAACATCTCTTAAGAACCCAGGGAAAATTGTAAATAAATATCTGATTATATGGAGCGGAAGTTAACTTACATCTTTGACTCCTTCTTTGATCATTCGCGTAGCAATTGGTGCCTGGCCTTGGCCTAAAGAGAGGGCATGGAAACGACTCGACATTCCAGTGTTCTCAGCAAGTTGTAACAAAGCACTGGTGGGATCCTAGGAAACAAATGTAACAGAATTGGGTTACATTAAAAATGTAACTTAAAGGAGTACCTCAAAGAAGGAATTTAGTTACAAAGCTACTTTCATGAAGAACACGACTCACCACTCCAGGGGATAGAACGAAAATTAGCGGAGTTCGTGTTGATGAATCCTCCACCACCGACGCCATGTCTAATACGGGAGGCTCCACAAACCTGAAGTTTGCAAAGAAACACAGCCTCTTTAACAACCAGGAAGTCACAAGGTTACCGTGTACACGATGCGGGTAGCTCGGAGAGGGACGCACAAAGTACTCACCTTTGCGGGCGGGATAAACGGGCGGGGGCGAATGGCGAAAAAAAAAACAGTGCAATTACGCACAAAGAATTTCATGACGAGCAAAATAAAAAGATGATCGATAAATGGCAAGAAAATCAGTGCAACGAGAATACCTAATAGCAGGAAAAAGAGTAGAACGTGGAAAAAGTGTGGAAAACAACATTGAGACGGGGAAGGTACAATATATCGGAGAGAATAAAACGAATATGTAGCGCGGAAGAAGATACAACGGGAACGATGCATTGTACAGTGAAAAGGGAGCTTAAGAATAAAGAGGAAAATTCTCAGCAGCAGAAAGCAATTGTCATTGGCTTCACCTCACGAGCAAGGAACGTTTGTGTGTAAGTCCTGGTAAAATCTCTCAAAAAAATATAAAATAAAAAAACTTACTTGGAGCCTAGATTGTTCACAATAAATGATGTGGCAGTGAAAGAAACTCTGTCAGGGCGAAGAGATCGAACTATCAGCATCCTCTGCAGCTCGTTACACGCGTTTTCCCATTCACCTGAAGAAAAAAACATTGAATTATTTTAGAAGGAATGAAACAGTGAATGGAGCTAGTTGAAGAAAACAGTGAGATACTCTGAACTAGCGGACAGTGAATGGAGCTAGTTGAAGAAAACAGTGAGATACTCTGAACTGAAAAGGAAGTTTAAAACGGAAACCAGAAAAAGTACTCTCGTGGTTAGAGAATTATTAGTTGATCCAATATCAAATTCTCCGGACTTACATCGAAAGAATTGTATAGCGGACAGTAAGGAGAATTAATAATGAGATCTTGAGGGTTTAAGGGTAAATCGTTCGGTCACCGAATATCTGATGCATTAAAGAACGGAGTTAAGTAACATTTCCAATTGAAGGAGTCTTGCTCTTACTCACCGGGTAACGGCGTGTTTTCTGGTTCAGCACTAGTGTACCAGATGTTCCAATCTCTGGGATACTGCTCAAACGATGTCACAATACCATGGAAGTTAGGCAGTCTGATGACAAAAGAAAGAGCAAGAAGATTATAAGTTGACATGTCGAACAAGGGCTACCAAAAAGAGAACATCCCAAAACTCGGACTCCAACTGGTCCATGAACTCACTTGTCCAACTCAGTCATGTTATCCCATGATGCCTCGTTGAGCCACTGAGTACAAGGATTATCCATCTGGCCCTCTCTGTCTAGTACCTACACACAGCAAACCATTCATCATTATCACTGTTTTCGCCTCTCTAGGGTCCCCGAGTAACCATTTTATAACGTTCCCATGAGCCCCCGGGAACTATTTTATTCAGTTGGTGCGAACTAGGATCATCCAGGCTAAATGTATCGAAGGCGACTTCTTGTTATTTTGAAGCTTCTGATGTTCTCTCAATTTCTGGGATTCATAGTAGAGAAAGCATCTTGTCTTGAAAGACTTTGATTGCCTTTATGAGCGATGTGGACGCTTGTAAAAGCTATTTTTCAGCGAATTACGAAAATAAGCTGGAGAAATATCGACTCGTGGATTATAAGAAAAAATAAGTTTGCTTTTGAATAAGCTTCTAACTCCCAGAGTGGATGACCACAGTCCTTTTGCACGATTTGAAATGGAAAGGAAAGCATAATGAGAAAAGGCTTTTATTACGACTTACCACTCCCCCCCTGAGGAAGAAGTTGTATTCGTCTATGTTGAGTTTGCCCGCAGCTTCCAAAATCTTAGAGCACATTTGGAAAGAGAAGAGAAGCTTGTGGCGTTCAAACAGGCCTCGGCAGGTGTATCTGACAAAAGAGTAAAATATACTGCATCTCAGGTGCTAAATTCATTGGGACGGGTTAAAAGCTTGAGCTATTATTGTGTTGATAACCTCATTACAGTTATACACACGAGGACAAAAAATTCGCCGGGAGCAGTCAATGAACGACTCTTCATTCATTCAATCATCCAATCAACCAGTCAATCAATCAATCAATCAATCGATAAATTTATTACTATATCGATCTGTTACTCAAAGTATCAATAAGCCAGTCAGTCCATGAATCTTTTGCTCGCCCTGCCCGTATGCTGTGGACGGATACAACTCGAGAAGATCGACTGAGTGAATTATGAATTGCTTTATAAGAAATTCCGTTGACCGAAACATTCGTTTTTGCTGCTCTGAATTTGGTTCGATGATTAACGTTCGACGTTTGACCCAATTGCAATCAAGTTCGCCTCAAGTGAAGTTCTATGTTTATGATCGGCCTAAGTATCCTCTCACGAAATGACTTACTTGTACACAGCGTAGGTGTGATAGTCATTCAGGTTCTGAATTCGTATCTCCAGATTGGGACTCCTCTGGCTCTTCTCAATGGAGTTGTTGAACAAATCAATGTACGCGTCGAGAGAGAACTGGTACATAGGATCTATCTTGCCCATGTCATTCAGAACGAAGAAGAGAATCGAAGCCCGCTGCGCGCACGGACGGTAGCCCTGGAGAGGAACAACAGGGCACGTGTGTGTAAAAAAACGATTATTTCTTTTAGTAAAAAGATAACAGTTAGGGAGCAAAGAAAAGGATATCAGTACCTCTCTGGCTGCATCAATCTTGATCTCTGTTTGTTCGCTGACCTGAAGTTGTTCAGCTACCTCCTGTGAAGTTGTTTTTGATGAGTTCAGCGTGTTTACAAGCTGTTCATCATCAAGCAACGAGCCTTGAGCAGTCTGCAACAACCTGAGGAACGGCGATGTATTGATAGAGAAAGATGTTATTTGTCTTGTTGCGATCGTGGAACAAAGAAGAAATCTGAGCTTCCATAAGGTGCGTAACCCCACCCCTTCGGATTCCGCGCTCCGATGCTCTACCACTGAGCTACACATAGTTCTATGACGAGCTAGCACAATACTATGGGTTCACATGTGACAGACGCTCTGTGAACGCTACTTGGAAAAGCAATGCTGGAAGCGTTCATGTAATCAATGCTTTGGTTACGATCAAGAGAGAATCAAACTAAGACACTTACAACCTAATAAAGACCTTGTTTAAAAGACAATCCTTCCTGAGCTATTTTAGACCCAAGGTCTGGTCTCAGATTATGAGGAGACGTGTAGCTGTCATACTCCTGGAAGGTTTTAGCGGGTAATGCATTTTATTAAAAACTAGATCATTGGATAATGCAATTCAAGACTTTTTATTGGCTTAGCCATTATGGTATATCAGCCAATATACCATAATCTACAATTATGGCAAGCGTACGTGTCAACTTAAAGGATCCCTTCCAACCACAATACATTGCGCGCGCGATATGTGAAATCCGCCATTTTCTCTGCCATCCGGTATTGGACAAGTCGTGAAGTGGAAAGAAATCCTCGTTCATCCGAGTACATTTGCCTCACTGAGGTCTTGAATTTCCTCAATCGCGTTCCAAATTTATTGTTCTTTCTATTTGACTAGTTATTTCTTAATTATTTTTTCTGTTTGGGCGCGCAGGGTATTGTNTATTGGCTTAGCCATTATGGTATATCAGCCAATATACCATAATCTACAAATATGGCAAGCGTACGTGTCAGCTTAAAATTAAAAGGGAGCTAAAAATTTAATAAAATTTAATAACTTAATTTAACGTTTTTAATAAAACAATTATTCCACTCGCTCTTGTTGGATATGAGATGATTATAGCCAACTCGGTGCTACGCGCCTCGTTGGTTATCTATCATCTCATATCCAACGCGCGCTCGTGGAATAATTGTTAAATATCTGAATTGAATGTCGAAGCCCACTAAATCATGACACAAGACTAGTTATTTCTGACATCTGCAAGGTCTGACCTCTGTGAGTTTGCTCAAAATTTGCGCCTTTTAGACTCTGTTTACCTTAAGATTTCATCTTCCAACTCCTCAAGTTTCTTTTTATTGGCCGCGATGTTAATAACAAGGGCATCCTTCTGTTCTTCTAGCTCCGGCCTCTCTTTACGAACTACAATACCTAACAGCTGGGCCTCCAGACCTATCAAAGCACACAAAAAACATTGTCTTTACTGTTTTTTAGGAATAAATAAAACAATCAAACCTTGAAACGTCGGACAGGCAAAAGCTTGTTTGCCCTCAAATTTTCGCCTGCGCTCTACAGGCATTTCACATATACAAATCCATCATTTGGATAAGTTGTTAATTAACAAGCCAGTTGTCCTGAAAATCTCGAAGGACAAGCTAGCAACATTTACAGATCTTTTTAACTTCAGTAAACGACAAGTGCGCGTGCACTGCAATTGTCTCGTCAGGATGACGCAACTGTGTGCGTCATGTAAGTTTTAAAGCAAACTGCTGGAGTGTGCGTGTTCATATAAAGATGAAGGCTCGATTTCGATCGTCTATGAGAGCTGCATGCTCTTACAATAATCTTAATGCAAACATTTTCAAGGGTAAATAACTAGTGGCTTTATCTGGGCAGGGTTCGTGCTCATTTTCGTAAACAAAAACACATTTATCTTTTGCGTTTCGCAAGTATTAAAAGGTTTAAAAGAAGGGTATAGGCCAACCTTGTTCCTTGACAGCGAAGTTCACAATTGTGGTCTTAGTAGAGATCTCTGGCGTGTAGTGAGGGTTACTTAGTTTCGTTGTGATGTAGAAATGGAACTCAGGGCTGTACTCGACTTCTTTGTCGCCAAGCCGAATCAACAACCGGCCACCTAAGGGAAAATGATCAGAAATTACACAAACTGTTTTACTACGTACCCCCTTGAGTCAAAAAGGTTGTCAACGACTTTTGTAAAAAAAAGTGCAAAGTATACATTGAACTTGTTAAATCAATTTCAACATTTGGCTTAAATAGAGATTTCGAAACTTCATAAATTCCCAAACAACTAAAGGGATACCAAATTTGCGACGTAAGAAGTAGAATCCTAGAATACTTACGGTTCCAGAATGATGTGGGTAACTTAGTTGTAAACAAGTGCAAGGAATGAATGAGCAAGGAATGCAAGCGATATCGAGGGCAACATGTACCTCGTAATTATCTGTAACAAGAGCTCGTAAAAGGTCAGAACATATTATCACTATTTACCTTGTTTGATTATCGATTTGTTTAGGATCGGAGCCAAAGACGGATCGAGTTCCTCCTGCGAGCAAAAATTCAAATTGAATAAAGACTCACTTCAACACACTTGAATATATTTTCAATAAGTCATTGGTGATGTAGTTTTTCATCATCCAAGTCAAGTATAAACCGATCAAAGGACAAAAAGTTTGATTTGAGCCGAGAAAAAGGACCAAATTCTAGTGAGGGGTGTTGCCACTTACCTGTACATTCTGCAATAAAACTGGGTTACCAAACTGAACAGAGTTTTCCAACGTCCTCAGATAATCAGACTGTTGTAAGTCAATTATTTTTAGACCCTGAAGGAAAAAATGATGCAAACTCGTGTTAGAAAAAAAAACCAAGAAAGCACATATTAATGAAGCGAAACGGCGTAGATTTGAAGGAGGTCGATTTCGACTTGTAACGAAACGACTTACTAGCAAAGCGAACAAACACCTCAGAACATGCGTGCACTGGTAGCAATACCTACCTTCTTAGTTTCCATATTCTTGATCCATTTAATGGCCTGTCCTTGCGGGTCGATCATCAGGGGCCACCTTAAATAAAATTCAGTTATATCATGGCGTAAATTTCAATTGTGTCAAATGCAATCTGGTTGTACAATGTTCTTTCTTTTCTTCAGTCCGTGTTTGGTCTTGAAACTCCTCACACAGCTGTCAATTCTCTCTTTTTCTACTTTGAGATCTCATTGCCTCCTCGCACTATTCTCGCTTGCACTCACTGGCCTTTGTGATTATTATGGTTTTCGTGTTTCGGCTCTCAATCGAAATGCGTCCCATCGCTTCATTTTAGGTTTGGTCATTTTTGTCTTCGTAATGAGTTCGCGCGAATTGACTGAACTGAGTCATCTGCTTAAAATCAATTTCAACATTTTACTGATTGTCAACTTCGAGTACATCAAGTTTTACCTGCTTCCCCTTGTCACCATAACACCATTTTCAGTTGAAAAGGAGTCTGACGGTAAACCCTTTTGGACAAAAAAAAAACCATTTTAATATGTAGAGAGGAATTTCAGTGAATTCATACACTTAATTTATAGAAATATAATGTAGTTGCTACCATGAAAAAGATCTTGATTCATCTCAGCAAGCTTGAACGTGATTATTTGTAATGATTACTTGTAACGTACATTGGCTAACGTAGAGAGTTTCTGAAGCGATTTTCGAGTGCTAGCCTTTCGTCAGAGTTATTGAATGAAGGGCTCCTTCTATTTTCTATTATCTATCCTCTATTCGCTCTGTCAATGGGTAAACGCTCGAAACGTCAGCTTAAAAATTTCTTTACTGTGGCCAAGTTGCGTTATCAACTCAAATTATCTTGCAACGCCAACCGACACACCACCCCAGTTTCTGTAGAAACTGATCCCCTATTGATACCTGATTGCTTTTTTGTTTTTGAAAAGGGCTGTAAGTAAAGAGAGACCGTTATAAATACTCATACCTGAATGTTCCACTCCCTGACGGTGGTTGGCTTGGCCAGAAAATTGGAGAAGGAGAAGTTTGGATTGCACGCCACATTCAACTGGCGAACCTAACACATAAACAAGTAGGCGGTTGGTTGGTTTTACATGTACAAGTAAATGAAATAGTTGGAATTACTCTGGCTCGGTCTGAGGAATTGTGGAACCGCACACAAAGTGTTTGAATGTTTAGAATCTATAATGAAGCTACGCGGTGATCTTTTGCGTCAAGTTTTACGAAGTGGAAAACTACTGCAGTGCTGTTTAAATTACAAAGGTTAATTTTCGGTTCTTAATGAACAGTTCTTGACTTTCACATGTCCACAATCGTCAGCGATTTAGGGACTGGTCATTATTTATCACGAAGGGGGGGGGAGGGTTTGGAAGATTTATTATGGTTGTATCACAACATGATTTACCTGACCCCCCCCCCCTCAAGGCTCCGTAATATTCTTATGATTCCCCCTCAAAGGCAGTAATGTTCTATAGAGACGAATGATACCTCTTCTGTACCCCCTGATAACCATGTGATCCCCCAAATCCTCCTTCTCCCTCCCCCCTCTCCCCACCGTGATAAAAAAATAACCGGTCTCTTTAAGTGTTTCCACCTCTTTTGTTACGTCAGTACCTGTGCAAGCCAAGTTTTCTCTACAAGCTCGTCTCTGTAATTGGACAGGAATGGTCCAGCGTAAGACAAGAAGGCCGCAGCAATCAAACAGTCTCCTACCAGATAACCAATATTTTCCTCTAAAATCTGTGAGAAAGGAACATGACAGCCGGATTATGGAATAAATTTCAAAAAAGTATCATAGTACAGCATTTCCAGTAAGAACCAACAAAATTATCTCAAGAAACCAATAAGGACTCGAAGACAAAACAAGGAAAAATGCAAGTTACCAAGTCGGAACTGGATTAACTTTTGCATCTGATTGGTTGAGAGGGTATTGCGAGTTTTCTGGACCAATCACAGAGCGAAGCAAATCCAAACCAAATTAACCCTGGATTTACCTTCGACTATTAATTGAAATAACGCTATCAGCTTTGTCTCCAATGCAGTTATTTCATACCTTGACACTAGCTTCCCAGCGATCCCTCTCTCCCGCCAGACCTGACACCAGTTTCCCAGCACGTTCAAGTTTCAACTCGGTGATCTCTGCTTTCCTTCTCAGTTCTTCTTTCTGCGCGGACTTCTCGTCATATTGCCTCTTAAGCTCTTCCATCCGATCCGTCACCTGTCCACAAGTGATCAGTATGTAACTTCTTCTAAAAATGTCCATACATTGTCCAGCGAAAACGTAACAGTAATAGACTAATTTATCAGTAGGAAGGCGTTATCTGGATGAAACGCCAAATTCTCAAGAAAATATAAAGAGAAAAAAGGGGAGAAATACGACTTTGATCTTAAAATTTAGCGGGTCAAATTTTCTTACAGCATCGTAATAGAAGCGAAAAGCCGTGGGACACCAAGAAATTAATGTCAGTTAGAAATAAGATTGATAATTTGAAACGGCTTACATAGGGTAGAATCATTTTTCGCCTTAAATGTCCTTTGCAAACACAATTTTACGATTACTTTTGATTTATCCAACAGTGCAGCAAACTTAGTCGCGACGAGCTAAGTTTGTTACACTGTTGAATTAATCACTGTCGCGTAATTGCCACCTGAAAGGCTCATGCGGGATGCTGTGATTGTGTAGCGGTTGGATCTTACTGTTGGAGTGACTGGTAGCGCTTGATGTGTATTACGGAAAGTGTGCCGGCTACTGTGGAGGGGCGGGGTTCTATCTTGGGGAGCTGCCTCAGCATGGGGAACGCCCCTGAATACCCCTTCAACCACTTTCTATTTAAGGAATGCAGCTGTTTATCGCTGACTATAGTCTCGACTGGTCGAGAATGTTCCCCGACAACCACCAAAAATTGTATCCATGTAGTTATAAACACCCCTGGGTGACCCACCTCTTTCAGCTTGGCCTTGGCATCAGCTAACACAGCCTGTTTCTCTTGCAGCTGAGAAGTTGCCTGCGCCAGCCTTTGTTTTTTAGGCTCCACCACTCTGTAGATTCGTCCATAAACCTCCATAGCTCGTACCCACATACAGAGTGACTTAGCTGCCAGCGACACGCGTCCAATGATCTCCGGTTGAAAATCTGGTTGAGCGCAGTACGTGCCGATTTTTTTCAGGATTCGGTCCGTCATGTTGTCTTTGTCATAGTTGACCAATTGCTTGATGAAGTTCTGATCGCCTGTAAAGATTTGAGTTTTAGAAAAATTTCTTTAGTTATCAGCTTGATGGGTCGTTTTCAGAAGGCGAATTCCTAATTCCCAGTGTTTCACGCAACTTAAAACACATGGCAGCTACATGCTAAGCCCTTTCACCCATTAGAGTTACTAGCATCTTAAATTCTCCTCAAAGTTTCTCTTCAATTTTCTTCAATCCCTAATAAACACTTCGTCAAAATAGTGCATACAATTCAAGAAGTTTCCATCCTGGGCGAACGGTTATGATTAATGAGGGAATTCTATTTATTACTTGACAGGATTTGCCAATCAGTTCTAACCAACTGCAAGCACCCTCAAATTGTCGAGGACGCTGGAAAGATGAAAGAAGAGGAAAATAAGCAGCACCCACCAAGCTGTCTCTTGGCTTCAGCCCAGGTAGGCTCGCCTCCCCTCAGGATCATGACAGCCTCCATCACTTTCTCGACCAAGGCAGGTGGGCGGCCGTAAGATTTGATTTCCGTCATGTCCTTCTTGTTCAGTGATTCTAAAGCCTTGGTGGCCTCGGCGAGGGCCGGTAGAGCTTCGTCCAAGTCGTGCTGGGCATTCTCTGCCATTACTCGGCATTTGTCTTCCTCTTCTGCGATCTTCTCGCTTCTGGCTTGCACAATCTGTTAGCAAATAAAAGAAAGTAACCGTTTATAAAATCAAGTCAAAGAGACGTGCCTCCAGATGCTGATCTAGAAACCGCTCTTACTGCGAATTGAACTTCTTGAAGATGGATGGCGAATTAGCAAATAACGCAAGACCAAATTGAGTTCGTATGGCAACTGTACTGAGAGGTGTGGCTAAGAGGGGTGATGGCCGCATGTGTACCTATCTTCGTCACACAAATATGTCAATTTCTTATTCAACAAAGAAAACTTGGCGTGAACTCTGACGCAAGTAGGAATTTATTGTAAGACCCAATTTCTGGAACATCCTACACACTTCCCCGAGACAGGCAGCGTTATATACGATTACGGTACGTCGCTGTTTCTCAATAGTTATTGTGATCGTGTAGCATGATCGTACCGGGAGAGAACTGTTGTGGCTGACTGTTTCGTTTCAACAACAACGATTTCCGCTCGGATAGAGAAAGCTTCAGTCCATGTTACCGACAACAGCCCTTGGCAGGAGTATTCTTATATCCTCGATCAGCCTAAACCGACCAAGATTTACGATTATTTTGACGAGAATGCCGGGACGATACCTTCTGTTGTTCATCAGCGTCTCTCTTCTGCTGCACAATCACCACAAGGTATTCTTCGCACTGTTTCTGAAACTGAGCGACTTTAGTCTTGGCTTCCTCCAGCTCGATCGACATGGACTCCACCTGGAAAAAAAAAGACATCTCTTTGAAATTTCTACCCGATGACCCCTTTGTTCTGTCCGATTCAGCATAGCAAGGGAAACTTTGACGTTTTCATTGCCTTATTTCAACACAATCAAATATCAGAAAGATCTTATGATGATACCCTCTTTATCCCTCATACACGATCTTGGCTGCAAAGAACCTAGTGTCTTCCATCTTCTTAACATCTACATGGCTATTAAAAGAATGTTGCGCTTTTCATGACATTGTACTCCTAAAGAGGAGTGACAAAAGACCAATCGCTGCACAAGGCGAAGGATGGTTTCGAAGAGAGGCTATGGATAATCATCACCAAAAATATTCCGCAAAACACTTCCTAAAAGTCAGTCGCTCAAAGCGAAAAACCAGATACCTTTGCTCTGGTATCATCAATTTTGTCCAAACCATTTCTCAGCTTGCTGGCCGCGTCACCAAGTTCTTTTCTCTTCTCATAAAGCAACCTGAACGTGAAAAGGAAACACCCAGGGTGTTAAGAAATTTAGAAACTGCAGTAAAATGAAGGGGCGGTGTGATGGTTTAACGGGATGGAATTGGTGGGTCGGGATTGGGTGGGACGAGATAAGACAAAGGAATAAATAGGTCAAATATTCAACAGATTACAGCTACAGAAAAGAGTACAAGACAACTTTATCTAAAAAATTCTACGTCTCGCAGACTGTGAGAAAGTTTAACTTTCCAAAAGGGTGGAGAGAGGCAGTGTGAGTAAATTGTAAAAGG